TATTGTAGAGATGAGGTCTCACCAAGTTGCCCAGGCGGGTCTCGAACCCGCGGACTCAGGGAATCCACTCACCTCGGCCTCCCAAAGCACTGGGATTACAGGCTGAGCCACCGAACCCGGCCTGAATTTACTTTTAACTATTAAGATGTGCCATGTCCTCTTTCCTCCCCCAGGGGGTGGTGCTGTGGTTTTGGGGGCAGAGTCTCGTGCCTCCAAGGATGTGGCCATTGACATGATGGACTCTCGGACCAGCCAGCAGCTACAGCTCATTGACGAGCAGGTATCCTGGCTCTCTCCTGGGAAAAATCAGCTCCTCTGTTGTCCTCTGTGGTCCTCAAGAGAGTGTTCGGAGTGTGCCGTGGGCAGAATGGCAAACGGGGGGTTCCTAAAGATGCAAGTTCTGCCCTGATAGAAGTTCACAGTGCTCACGTGCTCTCTCCCTTTCCTGAAGGATTCCTACATCCAGAGTCGAGCAGACACCATGCAGAACATTGAGTCTACAATTGTTGAGCTGGGCTCCATCTTTCAACAGTTGGCACACATGGTTAAGGAACAGGAGGAAACCATTCAGAGGTGAGATAACTCTCTCTCACCCCAATCAGAGGAGCCTCCTCTTCCCCACAGACTGACATCTTGCAGTACCTAGGGACAACTTGGATAGAGTGAATCCTGCCCATCCACAGTGCCCAGTTCACCTGCTTTCATCCACTCAACAAATATTGAGCACCTGTTCCATATCAGGCACCATTCTAGGTGCTAGAGATAAAGTAGAGAGTAGAAAGTCTATTTCACAGAACTCACTTTGGGGTATGTATGTGGAATCTGATAGGGCAGGTGAGGACAGCTGTTAAAAAGAATTAACCAAAAAGAAAATTTTAGGTAGGGCTATACAGAGAATTAAAGTAGGATGATGTGTATGGCCAGGCACAGTGGCTCACGCCTGTAATCCCAGCACTTTGGAAGTCCAGGGCAAGAGGATTACCTGAGTCCAAGGGTTCAAGATCAACCTGGGCAACTTGGCAAGACCATGTCTCTATAATAAATTTTAAAAACTAGCTGGGTGTGGTGGCGCATGCCTATAGCTCCAGCTACTTGGAAGGCTGAGGCTGAAGGATCGCCTGAGCCCAGTAGGTTGAGGCTGCAGTGGCCATGAGCATGGCACTGCACTCCAGCCTGGGTGACAGAGTGAGATTCTGACTCAAATAAATAAATAAAGTAAAATAAAGTAGGATGACGTGTGAAGAAGGTGACTGAGTAGCTACATCAGAACAGGTGACAAGGAAGGCTGCTCTGAAGTCATGACATTTAAGCAGAGACCTGAATGACAGCAGGGATCAATCCAGCCATGCAAAGAAGAAAGTATGTTCTGGGCAGTGGGCTTCAGAAAAGGTCCTGTGATGGGACAGTCTTGCTGTGTGTGTGGCCAGTATAGTTAGAAAATAAGAAAGCTGAGTGTGGTGGCTTATGCCTGTAATCCCAGCACTTTGGGAGGCAGAGGAGAGAGAGTTGTCTGAGCCCAGGGGTTCGAGACCAGCCTGGGCAACATGACGTCTCTACAATAAATCAAAAAATTAGCTGAGCATGGTGGCACACACCTATAGTTCCGGCTACATGGAGGACTGAAGCAGAAGGATTGCCTGAACCCAGCAGGTCAAGATTGTGGTGGCCATGATCATGTCACTGCACTCCAGCCTGGGCAAGAGAGTGAGACTCTTAATCAAAAGAAAAAAATAGTAATGAATGGAGATAGAGTGGTACAGGATGATACTAAAGAGAGCTAGACGGAGGCCCACCAGTGGGTCAGCCTCTCTATTTCTCTGGTGCTACCTTCTACTGCAAGAAGCATTTTGTCTGCTACTGTGTGGCCCATAGGTTTATATAATCAGTTATGGGGCTACAAAAGAGGCAGAGATCCTTGCCATTGTGGAACTTACATCCTAGTATGGTTATAGATAATGAGAAATAAGCGTAATAAGTTAAGTGTCCCAGTACGTTAAAAAATGATAAATACTAAAAAAAAAAAAAGTAGAGTAGGATAAGTTCCTCAGGAGTGCTAGGTTTGGAGGGGCAAGTTGTGATTTTTTTTATTTTTAGTTTTGTTTTTGAGTCGGAGTCTCTCTCTGTTGCCCAGGCTGGAGTGTAGTGTCATGCTCATGGCCACCACAGCCTCGACCTACTAGGTTCTGGGTATACTTCTGCCTCAGCCCTCTAAGTAATTGAAACCACAGGCATGCACCACCACACTTGGCTAATTTTTCTTGATTTATTGTAGAGACCAGGTCGCACCAAGTTTCCCTGGGTGGTCTCGAACTACTGGACTCAGGCAATCTTCTCGCTTTGGCCTCCCAGAGTGCTGGGTTTACAGGCTTGAGCCACCGCACAATTGTGATTTTAAATAAGGTGGTATCCGGGCTCGGTGGCTCAGCCTGTAATCCCGCACCTTTGGGAGGCTGAGGTGAGTGGA